TTTTAAATTTAATTTGTGATTATAGACATTTTATCGGTTAATTGTGACTGTTTTTAATTGACTGTTTCTAAATCGATTAACAAAAGGCACGTAGCATTACATTAAACAGTATTTAATTGCTATCAGATTACTGGTGACATACAGTTGTCTTTTCTTTCTTTTTTTGACAGATTGCTTTTTTTGTTTTTGTTTTGCACCAGAGTGGATTCACATGGATACTCCTGAAAGCCCTACCCAGTCCCCTCAGTCTCCTGAGGAGGAGGAGAAGGGTCTTTCTGACAGTGAGTTGCTGGAGTCTCCTAATGAAGAGGAGGACAGGGTCATTTCAGACAGCGAGATCCTCAATGAAGAAGGGGACATAGAAGTGCTGGAAAGCCATGGAAAACATGTGGAATTAGAGGAAGAGGAGGATGAGGTGGTGCCTGACTTTGTGTCGGAGCCAGAGGATGAGGAACCTTTTGGAGAAATGGGAGAGTTGGTTCTCATAAAGTATAATCAAACTTTTGAGCGTTTGAGCCGCTTAGGCGCCGTGTTTCCTGCCAGGTAAATGAAGCTCCGCAACGTGGTGACGTCATTCGGGGCGACTGGAATCGATAAGGGAATCGTTTGCAAAAATGGCAAACGATTCCAAGGAATTGAAACAGTGGGAACCGGTTCTCAACAAGAACCGGTTTTCGATACCCATCCCTACATATCAGTATTATGACCAGTGACTATATAAAAGTAGATTTTCGTCAATGATGTTGATTGTTGCAGTTAATAAACTTTTTAACATAATTCTTGATCATTGTTATTTATTTATTTATTTTTTGCCTTGAAAACAGTAGCTCACATTAAGCTCACAGCAAGTTGAGTGGCTGAGTGAAAGACTTAATGCTTAATACTGGTGGCAGCCAGTGCTAATCCTCAGCCTCCTAGTAGATGCACTTGTGGCATAAATTTGAAAATCTTAAATAAGTCTTAAATGAGTTGCTGTTTTCAATAGGCAAACCAATATAAACTGTCTAAACAAGAAAGGCCACTTTGTTTGAGCTAACTAATCGTTTGTAGATTATAAAAAATTATTTGCTTTTAGTTTGATTAAACTTAAAATGTCTGTTTATTTCCAGAAACGTCTAACTTGAAAAATTCTTGCCCATAATGAAACCAATCCTTATTTCTTCATATTTTGTTAGTAATATAGAAAATGAGCACAGTAATGTGTAAACATGAATACGGTGTAACTAGGCGGCACCAGAGTTACTACGGGAGAGGCTCAGAGTACAGCAGGAGTCTCCACCACATCACTTGCGAACAGGGCCTTTTTCAGTAGCTTGCCAAAGGGATCAATAACAAAAGTGGTCAAGAAAATAACAAATATAATTTGTATTGGTGAAACTGGCCAAGCTTTTCATCAAATTTAAATTAAATATACCCCTACCCCTCTTGAGATAAAACAATTATTTGTCAACTAGCTGTCAATCAAAAGTTTGTGCCGTCAGCAATTGAAGCGGTTAGACGCCGTATAGAGGTAGCAGGCAGACGAGGTGCCAGGCTATTAGCAACAATGATAGCAGCAGAGTTTGGTTATGCTAGTAAGAGGGAAAAAAATATGTTCTTGAGGAGTGGGAAACAACTTGTTTTTTTTCCCACAAATGTGTGTGTATGTCTGTTTGACCTGTGGCACGAACCTTGGTGTCTCTAAAAAATGCAACACGGAGCAGCATTTCACCAAAGTTCACAGCAACCTTTCCCAGGACTTTGTAGTGGGAAGCAACCTCTGCAAAAAAAGGTAAAAGAATTGAAAACTATCCTCCAAAAACAACAATCTAAACAGACAAAGAACGCTAACGCATCAACCGAGGCATCATTTAAAGTGGTGCACATCCTCACCAAGCACAAAAAACCCTTCATCAATGTCGAGATCATTAAAGAGGCAATGGCAGAATCATTGAGAAAATAAGACTGAGATTCTTTCTGCTATCGCTAATGTTCAGCTTGGCTTGAACACAGTCAGCAGATGCAGAGAGAAAGCTAGATTTGGACCTGCACAGGTGCTCCTGGTATTTACTTCAGTGTGATGAGTCTGAGGACTACAGTAATACGGCACAGCTAGCTGTGCACACATGGTGATGACTTTTCTACAAAGGAGGAATTTTTGACGTTGCTGCCACTGAAAACCAAGGAAGTTGGCATTTACAATGCAATGAAGCGGTACTTGTTGGGGGGAAAAAATCCATTGAAAAACTGGTTTCTATAACAACTGATGGAGCAGCAGAGGTGACAAGACCTCACTCCAGATTTATTGCACATGGCAAAGTGCACCCAAACTTTCCTAAATGTTCGAACTATCACTGCATCATTCATCAGCAGGCATGACGTCACATAAAATGTGACGTCATGCCCGGATGGCCCGGATTGCAGCCGTTCGAAGACCAGATATAACGTTTCAGAACACTCCAGCTCATATGTAAGTCTGCTCCAAGCATTTCCACTAAGGTAAGTCTTCTGTTGTAGTTATTACGTAATTTATCATAACATAATTGTTGATGTAGGTTACAAATAAGTATTATATTGACTTGAATAGAGATCAATGACTGTTTTCCACAGTCCTTGATAGAGATTGACAGACCACGTGAATTTCACGCATTGCATTGTGGGTACTAGAGGCAACAAAATCAAAGCACTGCATCAAGCGCTAGTATTTCCAGCACTGGTAATCATTAATTCTGCGGTTTTAATCCCTACTTGCATTTTATTTGCCCCCAAAACAGTTATGTACAAAACGACGGAGAACACGGCAGGTCCGTATGAAGACAGACTTGACGAAAAGGCAAAAAAAGAGGACAAAGAAAAAAATCAAAGGAGTAAAAGGGTGAGACCCATTTGTGCAAAAGTCACATGGAAGTCCGGTGTTGAGCAGACGTAAGCTTTTTTTTTTCTTATTGGGTGAGATCGAGGCTTTCGTGACAATGAGAGGAGAGGATAACATACTACTAAGAGATGCTGAGTGGGTGATCTGGCCAAAAATCCGGAAGAAATTAAAAAGCTGAACCAGCAGTTGCAAGGTAGACACAAAAAAGTGTGTGAAATGATCGGTGCTGTGAAGGCATCCTCCTTACAAACCCAGTGTGTTCCCCGGAGGCTTCCATTAGGGGGTGCACTATCACAGCTTCCCAGTCTTTTTATTTTTATTGCCCACTGCCAGTTTCTGTCTCATCTTTTCATTCTCCGTCTCTTTTGTTCTCTCCATGTGTTTGAGGCGCTGTATTTACCTTTTCCAGTGGTAGTCATCCTTGGTGCCTGTCAGTAGTGGGAAGTAAAAAGTACTTTACTACTGTACTTGAGTAGACTTTTCAGGTATCTGTACTTTGTTTTACTATTTATTTTTCTGACAACTTTTACATTACTCCACTACCTACATTTTTACACAAATGTAAAAATGTACAGCAGGCAAAGAGGGAGCTGCAGGGAGGGTTTAGTGGTGTGCTGTCAGGGAGGCAGACCAAAACGGCTGATCTCCATCGTATAATCATTCATCCCTTATTTGAATAGGATGAAGAGACCACACAAGAGAGCTGTGTGGTGTGTTGAGCTGGAAGAAGCAGCAGCTGGAAAGCTGTGTGAACTAAAAGTGAAAAGCATTTGTAAATAGCTATTCATGTGCATTGGGTACATTGATTACAATATTTTTACCTAACTACATATAGACATTAAATTTTTTTAAAATTTGGAGACATCAATAAATGACAGCAGCTGATCTGTTTTTCTTCCTCACACAAGACGACTGACTGCATTACCGAAATTATTATACCTACCACTAGAGGGAGCGAGAGCATCAAGTCAAATCAAGGGGCTTTAATGTCATTTTAACGATATACAGTACACAGTGAAATGAGACAGAGTTCCTCCAAGACCATGGAGAAACATATAACAGAAAATACACACAGGACTACATAAAGTGCAAGTGCAAAAATCAATGCAACACCAGAGAGAACGATACAGACACAACAACGCACAAACATTTTCAGGTCGATCGAACCTCTGTTTTCATTTTTAAATGAATGATGAAAAAGTAAAAACAGCTTCTTCATTGGGCATTAGCTTCAGTCCAGAACATTCTTCTTGTTCTCTTCAACCCATTTAATGTTAGCGATGGTTCTCTCAATGATTGATCCAGTGCTAAGGTCCCAGAGCCAAAACTAACATCGGAATTGTCAGCCTTGAACTGCTTCAGCTGATGCAACAGACACAATGTAAATCAGGGGAGTAGTTTTAAACAAAAGACATATACTAAAAATGCATGGCTTTGTTCATATCACTAATCTCTTTCTCTCTTTTTTATATTAAAATTGTGTTTTTTCCCCCAACATTTTAATAATGAGACATGTTGTTTGTCATTCATAAAATGCTACAAACACTCAAACCTTTTGTTATTGTTATTGGATGAATGTTCCTCTTGCACACAGTCACTGCAACTTTTGACCAAATATTTCAAAAGTGACCAAATATTGCAGCTTGGTTATGGCACAAGACTGCACTGCTTGCATGTTGATGTTAAAGTTGTCATAGTCCTGAGTCTCAGGCCAAGTATTTTTGAGTTTTGTTCTGGACTTCTGATTCTTTCCTTGGACATTTGAGATAAATCATATTCAGGTTTTTGTGTACTGATTTCCTATTACTTGTTTATCTGTTTTCTATTCATATTTCTTGGTTTCTTGATTGATTGTGTTAGTTCCTTTTGGTGCCCTGTCTGCCTCAGTTTCATCTCTCTGATCTGTCCTTGGTGTCTCCTGTGGTAATCACAGTGGTTGTCTCCATGTTTGTATCCCTTTGTGTCTCCCCAGTCAGTCATGTCTCTGTGTAGCTCCGGTCTCTTTGTCAAGTTCATGCGTCTTAGTCTGGGTCTCAGTGTGTGTTACTTCCTGTTTTATTTTCTTAGACCTCTCTCTTGTGTGTATCATGTTCAGTTTTGGATCCCTTGTCTTGTTAGTTCTATTCTTCACAGCTGTGCTCCCTGGTGTGTCCACTCTGCCCTAATGTCCTCCTGAGTATATATTCTCTGTATCTGTGTCCTTTGTTGTGTCAACCTCTGTCAGTCTGTTTCTATGAGTCAGTCCAGACTAGTGATGAAGCGTCATGAAGCCTTGAATTGAAGATTACCAATAGTCAAGGCTTCACATTGGCTCTCTCTGGTCAGAACTTTTATTGCAATTTTAACTTTGTGTAACATTTAACTTTGACTTTTTTAGCTGTTGTCTGCCTTGCAACAGTCTGAGCATGGAAATAATTATTACCAAGAATAGAAATAAAAACATGAATGAGTGTGTGTTGTTCGTTTATTCATCTAATCTGTTTTTGGTTATGGTGTGATAATAGAAGTCTATCAATGCCCCCAAAAGTGGATTCTGGTCATCTGGACATAGTGTGTTCAGTGGGAGAAAGGTTTCCTCACTCATCCAAGTGACTTCTTCAGTCTCAGCTGACTGCAGGACTGTAATCAGCCATCTTACGTTCTGTATGCTCATACTGACATACACTCTTATTTTACTTACCTGCATTATTGAGCATGCATAAAGACGTTTTAACCCACTTTGGCAAGGACTGCCTAAAGCTTGTACGTCAGTATGAGCAAATGGCATGTAAGATGGCTGATTTCAGGAACCACCTGAGATTCAATCTCAGATGTTGACAAAACAGGATTACTCCTGAAAGTCTGCAAATGAGCTCTTCAGTCAAGGGCTTCCGGGCAACAAAAATCCTTCAGAAGGCACAGCATCAGCTGCTTAATGGGTGAGGCAAACAAATTTTACCATCGACATACTACAATCTGAAGATGGGCAGATCCGACAGAGACTTACAATGCTTCTAAATGAGAATACTCTTAAAAAGCTGTTTGAATTCAATGAGAAGGCTCGTCTAGCACAGCACAAGAAGTTTAAGACCAGGCAACAAAGGAAGTTTGAGTTACTTGTTGTATGTTGGAAACCACAGCAAAATACAGAGAGTATCCTCAGTGGCCAGAAGAGAAAAGGATGCCACACCAAGGATGTGGACAAGTGGGTGAAGAATTTGTCTGACAGACAGCTCACCCAAACAGAGAAAAACATCATTGCTAAAGGGTTGAACTTTACTGTGACGCTAAGGCAAATCTAGCTAGTGGAACTGATCACAGCCCCAGAAACAGCAATTTGAAACAACAATATTGCAGACGTGGAAGCAGAGCCATTACGGATGAAAGTTTTGGCCTGTCTCAGCAATGACAAGCCCCCAGCATCCAACATCAGCATGGAGGAGAGGAAGGCACTCACATCATTTAGTAATGACAACAATATTATCATCCTTCCGGAAGACAAGGGTAGGTGCAAAACCAGAAAGAGTAGCATGAGAAAATTTTGTCACTGGTCAGTGATGAAAATACTTATGAGCCCCTTATGAGGTTTGATTCTCATCATCCACTAGAGCAGACCTTCCCAAAGTGTGCAAAAAAAGTTTGGGAACCACTGCACTGGAGCATAAACTGGGTGTCATCAGGACTCTATAACATAGAGCAAACACCAACCCCGCAGACACAGTGGCCAGGGAAGCAGAAGAACATCACATCAAGAAGGCCCTGAGTAAATGTGGTTATCCCAGCTGGACTTTTATCAAAGCTGGGAAGGCGCCTAAAGAAAGCTCCAGCTGATCCAGGAGAGAAGGACAACCGCTGCCTAAGCGAAAACCTGTAGTGATTCCTTATGTCTCAGGAGTATCGCAACAGTTGAAATGCATTTTTTAAACACTGCTTCTCGTTGGCTTTTAAACCCCAAAACATGCTGCGCCAAAAATTCATCCATCCCAAGGATTGGGTCCCCCAACACAAACAGAGTAATGTAGTGTACTGTACACTGTTAGGGGCCAGGAGGATTGCCAGTATCTATACATCGGGGAAACCAAACAACATCTGGCGAAGCGGATGGCACAACACAGAAGAGCTACCTCATCAGGCCAGGACTCTGCAGTCTATTTACACCTACAGGCCAGTGGACACTCTTTCAATGATGACGATGTACACATCCTGGACAGGGAGGAACGCTGGTTTGAGCGCGGAGTCAAGGAAGCCATATACGTGGAAGGGGAAAGACCATCTCTGAATCGCGGAGGGGACCTAAGGGTCCATCTTTCACCATCTTACAATGCTGTGATTGAAGGCATCCCCAACTCTCTGTGAATGGTACTCATGGCCATTGATCATTGGTCTTTGGTCAATGGCCCATTGTTTTCTCAGTGGTGCTAGTTTCAGTCATCAAATGACATCTTCTATAACCGAAAATCCTCGCTCCATCTTTTTCTGGAATATTAGCAAAATTAACCCTGATACCCTTTCTACTGCCTTCTCTGGGTGTTTGCATTCTAATAACCTGCTCACCCTAGAGGATTTGGTTTTCTATTATAACCACAGTCTCAATAATATTTTAAACTCTGTTGCTCCACTAAAAACCAGATCTGTATCATTTTCCCCCTCAGCACCCTGGTTTACATCTGAACTCAGGCGTCTGAAAGCAAAAGGTCGACAGCTTGAATGTCTCTATAAGAAAACTGCATTATAAGGACTGTATTAGTTAGTCGTCTCCGTCCTTTTCTCTCCCCACATGCCACTGCCTTTCTTGTTCATAGCCTGGTCACTTCCCGGATCGATTACTGCAACTCTCTTCTTTTTGGTTAAAAATTGATCCATAAAATTGATCCATAAAATTGATCCATAAGCTTCAACGTGTCCAGAACTCTGCTGCCCGTATTATCATCAGGACCCCTTCTGTGCACCACCTCACCCCTGCTCTGCAGCAGCTTCATTGGCTTCCGGTTAAATACCGCATCAATTTCAAGATACTTTTTTACACATTCAAGGCTATCCATCATCTCTCGCCTTCATACCTCTCTGACCTGGTTCAGATCACCATTCCTTCTCTGTGTCTCAAATCCTCCTCCTCTCTTTCTCTGTCCATCCCTTCTCCCCGGCTAGCCACCATGGGGCACAGGGCTTTCTGTTGCTCTGCCCCCTATCTTTGGAACTCCCTTCCTCCTGAGATAAGAAACATCTCTTCCCTCCCTCATTTTAAGTCCAGACTCAAAACTCGCCTGTTCACAATGACCTATTCCACATAAAACTTTCCATCCTGGAATTATTATTATTATTATTATTATTATTATTATTATTATTATTATTATTATTATTAATAATAATAATAATAATAATAATAATAATAATATTAATAAATGTGGATAGTTCAGAGTTTAACATCATATAAGCTAAGTAGCAGAGTTTCTAAGTTCCAACTATCTATCTGATTTATGAGTGGAGACTGGTGTCTGCTGCATTTTGAAATTTGTCTTCACTCACTGGTCCACGTGTCCATCAGGAACTTTGCTCCTGTTGTTTGTAATTTGTTTGTAGTATTCAAACAGAGGGGAGACTTTTTTCCTGAGATATTACTGAAAACAACAAAGACAACTCAGAAAATGTGACAACTTATTTGTGTTTTGTTTCTTATACTTCATGATACTATTAATTAATATCTGCTAGGTAAGTATTTAAACCCACAGCCTACCAACACCAAAGTACACGGACTACTGACCAGGATGCCTGGGGACCCCGATAATCCAGAAAAATAGATTGCTAGGATTATTGCAGTTATAATAAATCTGCATTAAAAAAAATACAAGTTTCATTCTTTGATGCAACTTGCAGATTTTATCCAAAGTACTATTACATAACAGATTGTTATCTGATTCTGGTATTCAATTCTTTGATTTTTTATTTTTTTATTTTTTTTTATTTTATTGATTAGCATTCAAATTCAAATCTCAGTGAAAACAGTGAAAAAAAACCAAACAAACAGTGAAAACAGAACAAAAATCTACCATAAAGAAAGAAAGCATGAGACAAGGCTAATCAAAAGGTACTGGCTGAAGCATTTGCTTATTACGCCAACCTTTTCACAAAATATCTTTTTGTATGCAGCTCCTGTACACAGGGCTCGAAGAAAATAATAAAACAAAGCAAAAACCAAAAAAAACAAAGAAAAAAAAAACTTTCCACCTTAGATAAGTAACTACATCAAAGCAAAAGAATCAAGAGGTTGTTTTTTTTTCTCCTTTTTGCTCTTTTCATTCTTGATTTATATATTTTTCTATTACTCTATTTTTAAACATGTTTTTAAACAAGGAAAATGAACTACACCTTTTTAAATGACTGTCATAACTATTCCACAGCGTTAACGAAACAGCAGCAACACCATCTGCAGTGTGGAGAGAGAACAGGACAGAAAACGTCGAGCTTTTACCAACGACGTTTTTAGGACAAATCACAAATATACTAATTGTTTTTTGAGGATCTGTGGTTGTTCATCTGAAAGTTTGCACTGTACGTTTAACATCTAGGCTACTTTTTTTCGAGACCAAAACATCACTAGCACCAGTTGATATTTAGACTAATACTTGATAACTTAGCGCTAGCATGCTAGTTCAGCTGAAAAGCACGGGCAAACTTTTTAAATACTAAAAATGGTCACCTGTCATTTGTAAAAAGATATTGGTCACATTAAGAGGCTGTGTACAGTGGTCCCTCGTTACGTTCTAAAAATAACCCGCCATAGCTGAAATCCAAAGTAGCCAGCTTTATTTTTTACACCGCAGAGTGGCTGCTCAGATGATGTGAAAGAGGTGGTCCTGCTTCTGTTCAGCTACTTTGAAGAAGTAGAAGATACATGTCTGGCAGATGAGGTGCAACTGGAGCAAGTGTCTCTGACACCCACTATTATTGTCTTTGGTAAGTCTGTTTCATAGCTCTCTCTCTCTTTTTAATTGCACTGTTTATAGAATGTCACGTACATCAGTGCTTATTAATATAACCTGTTAAATAATTTGTTCACAGGACAGTCCTGCTTAAGAAGATAAATGCTGAGTCTTGATCAGAACCTCGTCAGCATCTGAGCTGGCTTCCACTCTGGAGGTTCTTCAAAGGTGAGCAAATATGTCTTTCTTATTTCTCAGACCTGAGAATCTCGCGTTACAACAATTGTTATTAAAACTCTGGGATCTGGGGCCCGTTCTTCGTACCTCGCTAAGTAGGTTAGCTGGATTTGATTGTTGACGATTTCGCGTGATCCTGGATCGT